ACACACACACACACACACACACACACACACACACACACACACACACACACACAGAGAGAGAGGAACACAAAATGCTAACTTGCTAATTGTGTGTAAGCTGGCAGCTGATGGGTGTATTTCTCTGGTAAACTTTGTGCTACTGAAATACAATGTCAAAGGTCAAAGGTCAAAACGCTACAACAGGTCATGTGACTCCAAGAGTCAGGAAGCACTTTGGTTTGACCTCTGACCTCATGAAGAGTGTTGGTGGGTGTGGGGTCTTACCAGAAAAATTCCTGGTGGCCAACATTGTGGTAAGAATAGCTCCCTGAAGGAAGGAAGGAAGGAAGGAAGGAAGGAAGGAAGGAAGGAAGGAAGGAAGGAAGGAAGGAAGGACGGAAGGAAAGAACATTTAGTCACTATAAAAACATTGAACTGTTTGTTCAGATTTAGGTCTGTGTAAAACTCCTGAAACAGTCCAGATCCAGTCTTAATCCAACCCTAATCTAGTCCTGATCTGGTCCTAATCTAGTCCTGATCTGGTCCTGATTTCTGTATTCTCCCTGTAATCATGACTGTCTGTAATCTGGTAACGAGTTCTGAAAGAACAGATCTGCAGACTTTCTGAAGATCTTTCAGGGTTTTTAGACTTTGGTTGCCTTTTCTCATGTTATCTTTGGTCTCTGTCCTTTAGACAGAAAAGGCTTCCTAAACCTGAGGGATGAATGTTAAACATAATTTATTTTTCTATAAAACTCTTTAATTCAGATTAAAGTAGAGGTTGCAGGTGAAAACAGAGCCAACATTCAGCCTGTAAAGGAAGAAGAACCTTTTTACAGACAATCTCCGAACACAAACTCTCACTGGATCAATCTGATGAACAAACAATTGGTTTAGGAATTTTATTTTGAAAATCCTCACCTTTAACTTTCTCCTGGCATTGAATTTCTTTAGACATTCAACGGTTTCCTGTCGGTGCATACAGGACGCAACTGTGGAGCGATGCTGAGAGGAAGAACACATCATCATCATCACTAATTGTAATCATCATCACCATGTTCATCACTATCATGATTCTCATCATCATAATCTTTTTCATCACTACTAGCACATCATCATCATCATCATCATCATCATGATCAGACAACAGTGATGAAGATGACAAGTCTTACAGAGATCCAGGGGTGCTTGAGAGCCTCTGAAGCTGTGATCCGTTTGGCCGGATTGATCGTTAACATCTTATTGATTAGATCTTTGGCTTCAGGAGTCACTGTGTCCCACTCAGGAGAAGGAAACTAGGAAGAGGAGGCAAAGAAACTGTGTCAGTGTTAAAGCTCCACCTACATCTCATTCACTGACCAAAGACCCAACTCCATCATTTCATCATCATATGACATCATAATGAGTCATGTAACGTACATCATAAGCTCCAGCTTTGATCTGCTGATAGAGACGATGTTGATCTTCATCCCAGAATGGAGGATATCCCACCAACAAGATGTACAGAATCACACCTGAGGAAACAAACAATTAAAAACTAAATAAACAAAGAAGTAGAAGAAACATGAAGAGCAGCAGAGCAGAGAGGAATCTGACCACAGGCCCAAAGGTCAACAGCCTTCCCGTACGGATCCTTCCTCAGAACCTCTGGAGACAAATAACCAGGAGTTCCAGCAAAGCCTGAAAAACAAACAAAACATGCATATCAGCTGCTGAACAAACAAACAAACAAACAACCAATCCAACCTACAAAACCAAACAACCAACCAACTTATAAACTAACCAACCAACTCAACCTTTCTACAAACCAACCAACTTAAACAAACTCAACCAACCTACAAACCAATCAGCTAACCTTCAACCAACCAACTCAAACAATTTAAAACCAACCAACCCAGTCAATAAACAAACCAAACAATCTACAAATCAACAGGACTACAGATGTACAGTAAATTAGCAACTATGCTATAATCTGGCTCATTTACAGTCTATACAGAAGTACAAGATTGTTAATTTATGTGCACTGTCCTGATTAAATACATACACACATAAAACTAACCCAACCAGTTAATCTAACCTACAAAACTAACACCAACCAACCAACCAACCAACCAACCAAGCAACTCAACCAACCTAAACAAAGGAACCAACCAACCAACCAAGCAACTCAACCAACCTAAACAAAGGAACCAACCAACCAAGCAACCAACCAACCTAAACAAAGGAACCAACCAACCAACCAACTCAACCAACCTAAACAAAGGAACCAACCAACCAACCAAGCAACTCAACCAACCTAAACAAAGGAACCAACCAACCAAGCAACCAACCAACCTAAACAAAGGAACCAACCAACCAACCAACTCAACCAACCTAAACAAAGGAACCAACCAACCAACCAAGCAACTCAACCAACCTAAACAAAGGAACCAACCAACCAAGCAACCAACCAACCTAAACAAAGGAACCAACCAACCAACCAACTCAACCAACCTAAACAAAGGAACCAACCAACCAACCAACCAACCAACCAACCAACCAACCTAAACAAATGAACCAACCAACCAAGCAACTCAACCAACCTAAACAAAGGAACCAACCAACCAACCTAAACAAAGGAACCAACCAACCAAGCAACCAACCAACCAACTCAACCAATCTAAAAACCAACCTACAAACCAACAAACTAACCCAACCAGTAAATCTAACCTACAAAACTACCATCAACCCAATCAGCCAACCAACTTAATCTACAAAGTAACCAACCAACCTAAAGACCCCGTCACACTAGACAACTTATGAACATTTTAAAGACATCTACATTGAAGATGGAATTGAAAAAATCAACAGGAAGCTTCTTTTCGGTGTGTACATAGTTTAATTCAAACAAACTGATCGATATATAACTTTTATTAGCAATTTAGACATAAAAATGTTTTGTAACTGGGCATAAGTTGTCTGGTGTAACATGGCCTTAAGCAACCAACAATCCCAATCAACAAAACCAATTAACCTGAGACAATAACAAAGTAACCGACAGTACTGGGACCCACAGTACTCTTCTGAGTACTACAGCAGGTACTATCTCACCGAACCAGGCCTGCTGTTCTCCCTCCACTTCGATGGCGAGACCAAAGTCAGCCAGTTTCACTGCAGCTCCTTTAGATTTGGAGGCTAGTAGAAGATTTTCAGGCTGCAGACACAGAAAACATGATCACGTGCTAACAGTGCCATTTGGTTAATATGAGCAATGCTAACTCTGCCAGGAATGCTAACAATACAACAGAGTGTCACAGGGGTTCCACGACTCTGCACTATAGTCTACAGAACAGTTCAGTAGAAGCAGACACACGGTACCTTCAGATCTCGGTGGACCACACCCATCTGATGACAGTGAAGCACCGCCTCCAAAATCTGCTGGATACAGTGGCTGCAGACAAAGGTCAGAGGTCAACACAAGGAGCTGAAGAACCCTGCGCCAAGGCTAATCCAGGTGTGCTTTTTACCTGGCGTCAGCTTCACTGTAATATTCTCTGGCTACAATGTCTTCAAACAACTCTCCACCTGTCACTCTGAGACACAAACCACACATCAAAACACACACACACACAACAGAAGAGGAAAACACACATCAACTACACACAACTGAAGGAGAATATCCAAGACAGAAATAACACGTTAAAGTTGAGAGAGAAACAAAAAGTTTCTGAGGAGGAAGATACTTCCTGCAGATGGCAGCAAAGTGTTACAAAGTGAAACAACGAACAGATCAGAGAGTCTGAACCTACAGGTCAAAGATGAGGTAATGATGAGCCTCCTCTGAAATGCTGTCATGAAGCCGAACTGAAAAACAAAGATTTTTGTTATTTCAGAGGTTTGATCTCGTTTGATCCAACAATCAATCAATGACGACACAGCGAAGATCTGCAACGAAACATGACTCGTTTGTAAAATAAACCTGATTATTAGTGGAATTATCTGCTGAGTCAGCTCGAAATACTGTTAAACAACACTGAAACATCAGCAGCACGGTGGTTCAGTGGTCAGCACTGATGCCTCGCAGCACGCAGGTCTTTGGTTCAATTCCAGCTTTGGTCCTGGGCTCATTGCATGTTGTCCTGGAGTCAGTGGGAGTTTTCTCTGGTTTCACCCCCCAGTCCTGAAACATGCAGGAGAAGCTGCTGCTCCAGCTCACCACCCCGTACGTCTGATGTCACCACAGAGTCAACAAACGTCCAGGAGAACTCCCTGAGCTCCTGAAGACTGAAACAAAACGTTCATATTTTTCTGTTTTCAGCCAAACTTTCCTGCAGGAACTGAAGTGAGCTGAGTTTCACTGCAGCTTTCTGTGTCTGCTTTCATTGGATAAGATCACATATTTTAACACAGGAAACTGCTGCCCACACACACACACACACACACACACACACACACACACACACACACACACACACACACACACACATATTAGGAATGCGCGATATAAACGATATACGGTAGAAATGATATAAATTTGTCCTATGATAGAGATCTGTAGTCTACCGGCCAACTGCGCAATTCTTTTTGATGACTTAACTGGCTGGAGTCAAAACAGAGGAAGCGGGAAGCAGCCTGGCTGAGAGCGTAAATGAAGACGGGAAAAAAACTTATCCAGACCTGGTTCGGGTGTGTGAAAATGAACGCCGAACTGTTTACATATTTACGTGACGGCGCGTCCTCCGACCGACAACACTGCCTGCTGCGGGAGGAGCGCACGTCGCAGCATGTGTGAAGGGCTCGACAAACGGGAGGCGACGTCGCTCGCTCTCCATTCATTTCCACGCAGCGAGGCGACTGTCAGTGCAGGTGAAGTCAGTGCCCAGGTGGGACACACAAAAATCAGTCTGGACCTCGTTTCTCCTGCGGTCATAGTGTGACGACGCACGGCGAATGCGCTCGCACTCCGCGCACACTGCAAAGCGCGACTATAATGACTGTCACCCCGCCAGAGCGTGCACAGATTAAACAGGTGGAGTACAGAAAAAATAATCTGCGAAGTGTGTAGAAAGGAATAAATACAAGCAATTTGTTTTACCATCTTTAAACGAAGCAGGTGATTCCAAACACAACATCCAATGGATGCAGATATCTATTACATTAAAGTTATTGTGTGTGTGTTTGTGATATAAAGTGTCCCTTAAAAAAGGACATTTTAAGGTCTAAATTTTTTTACCTATACATATTTATTCCACTCAATTAATGTGCGATTTATTTATTTTCTATTATAAGTTTTATATCGTGATATACATCGTTATCGACACTCATCATAATGTATATCGTGATGTGAATTTTTTGCCACATCACAAATTCCTACTCTGCACCCTTTTCATTCACAATGCAACTAATTGTAGGGTTTGGAGTTTTATTACTTTCATGTTTTTGTGTTTTACTTGATCTGCTCTGAGTTCAGTTCCCCAGTGTTGCACTTCCTTAGTCTGCTCTTTTCCCTCAGGTGTTTGTCATTACAGTTAACTAGCTTCCCTTTAGATTAAGTGCCTTGTCTCCCTGTTAGTTGTGGCGTCATTGAGCCTCCTATGGCCTGTTTGGTCTGTCCTCTGAGTGTGGTCTACTTGTGTGCTTTCCTGAGGAAAAGTTTATGATGCCACTTTCATTTATTCATTTTTGACATCATAACTCTGTAGTTTTTGTGCCTGCTCCCTAGGTGAAAATGTATGTAGACCATAACACTAACAGCCACATCTTTCCATCTCTGCATTTACCAAAAAACATTTTTTCCTCTTCCGACTCCAGTGTGAGAACAACTAGTGTTTATCTTTATACGCAGTGGGAGGGATAAAATTATTATTTATTTTCCCCTGCAAAACAATTTTTCTGTTTTATATAAGAAAATGCTGAATCGTGGTAGTAAATTACAAAAAAATCTGTCAAAATTTACTCCTTAGCATAATACAACCCACCCAACTTTATGGGTGGTTTTTGGGCTTAATATCTTGCAATATACACACATTAATACAGTAAGTCATCAGTATATACAGTAATTGTCAGGGAAAGCATCAATAATTTAGTTGGTTAAGTTCATTATTGTCGTACCGTTTCTTGTCAAGCTCTGCCTGCTGCTTTAAGTGCTTCTGCTCATACTCTCTTATGTTTTCCACACCGATCTCAGCACAGAAGTCTGAAAACACCAAGTCCTCAATCTAAAAACACAAACCACAGATATACAGTTAAAACCCTATTCAGTGGTACCCTCAGTACAAGCACTAGTGAAGGAGAAGGGCAAGCATGAACTGATAACACTTCTATATTAAGCTGTTACATTGAAATACAAACACAAATGAACTACAAAATATAGAAAGCAAACTCAGCAACACAAAAAATTTCTACACAATGCCCATTTTCCAGTTCCAGGTTTGTATAGTCTAATATACTGTATTCAAACTATTCAAACAATTTTGGAACTTTTTTGACATCAAAGTACAAACATTTTCAGGACATTTACAAAAAACCTAGTACAGTTTTATATAAAGTATATATATATATATATAGTTCGGTTCAGAATGCTGAAAAACAAGCTAACAAACTACCTGATCAATCCGGTGTTTAATCTTGTTCATCTCTGCGTTCTTTGCCTCAAAGCTTTCCTGCTGCATGTGAATCTGAGAGTCAATGTTTGCTAATTCACTCCCCATCTGTGAGATCCCCTGCAAAAGTCAGCAGGATAGAAACAACAAAGGAAGTATTGAGCAAAAATTATCCACTCATTCATCTCTGAAGTTGCATCACCGTCAATCAACATTACCTCACTCTATGGTCTTCTGCATATACTGTAGATTTATGTTTAACTAGTGCTGGGCGGTAAACCGGTTTGTACCGAATACCGTTTTTTATTTCCGTTATGATATTAATTTTCTGAATACCGACATACCAGTTTTCCTCGCAGCATCGCTATGGCCATTAGCAAGCTAATTGGAGCAGCTTGTCGGATTAAGTGGTGGCGGGTGGCGATTCTGCTGCTTATATTGACTGAATGTAGTGAACAACTGAATGTATGTAAATGCTGAATGTAGTAAACAACTCTTGGGTGACGTGCAGTTAGATTTAACGCGCAATGTTTAAGGAGACGTTATTGCATGGAGACTTTATCGTGCTTCTATTGTGAAAAGCCCAGGGAAGTAGTTTTTTTAGTGGAGTTGAGTTGCCTGGTGTGCAAGGTGAGTCGTCCTGTTAAGCTTGATTAAATAACATAAAACAATAAACCCAATAATAATATTTTCTTAACACTCCTCCTTCACGACCGGACCAAAATGACTACTGTCTCCAACCACCAGTCAGACAAGAAAAGACACATACAGAAGATAAACTGAGACACGGACAGAGGTATAATAAAAGTAAAGTCAATAAGCAGCATTTGTACATTTTATTGCCAGCTGACCTGTGATGAAAATAAAAATACTGTGCTATACCGTGAAACTGGTGTAAATGTTGAAAATACCGTGATATAAAATTTTGGTCATACTGCCCAGCACTATGTCAAACTATGATTTCTGATTTCAAATATGAAATTGTTCTGTGAAAAAGTTCTGTGTTCTTACCGCTTGGCATCTCGGGATTTCTTTTTTCTGGAGGTTTTCAAATTCATTTTTGGTGTATTTCAGGCGTGTCTGAACTCCTTGAGACTGTACAATGATCCGATTCAAGTCTGATTCCTTTCTCTTTAGTTTCATTAAATCCTGCCAAAAAAACAAAATAATCATGTATAACATAATGTCAAGTGCATCTGACAAACTATACGTTAGCAAATAACAAATAGGAAGAGCGTCTTATAGCGCAAAAACATTCAATAATTTTTTTTCCTTGACTTAATTCTTTTTGATAATTTGTAGTATCTCACTCGAAACTCAGTGGTCAGCTTTTCCTTGCGTTCTTTTAAATGTATCAAGTCCTTCTCATCCCAGGCGCGAGCTTTGGTCTGTAGATAACTGGAACCTCCAGAGATCACCCCTGATCTTTTAAACAGTGTCCCGTCCAAGCTGACTGTCTACAAACAAATCATGGACACTTCTGCTTGTATTTCTGTAACAACAAAATAATTCAGTTTTGTCTTTAATTTAGTGATGTTTTCAAAATAAACTTTACCTTAATGCGCTCCTTTCTGTCAAAAGCCACACTCCTGGCATCTTTGATAGTTTCACACACCAAAGCGTTGTCACAAACATACTGCACCACTTTCCTTAGCTGGCCAGCCCCTGAGGCAGCAGTGACCTGTACAACATCGGCCACCAACTTGGCGCCTGGAATCTCCCTCAGTCGTTCATTTAGAGGTTTCACCTACGCTCACAGCAGTGACAGTTAATAATGACACATTGATGTGTCTTTACTAACATCAATGATCACTTTAAGAGTCTGTTTGTATGTGAAATGGCCTTAACTTACAATTAAGTAGTCAATGGGCAGGAACATCTCCGGTTCAGCTCGTTCCTCCTTGATGAAAGTGATACATTCACGTGCTACTTTCTCAGATGCCACCACAATTGCGTTCATGTTGTTGCCAAACACCTTGGTGACAGCCAGCTGGTACTTCTTATGGATTGGGCTACACAGGTCAGAAAGCCGTCCAAACTGAAATGGGACACACAAATTTAATAAAAGTTTCAACATACCCACCGCTCTCTGCTAGTTAATTAGATTTCTGTAATTATTACTTTTTTTCTGAAATTCATTAAAATCTGTTCAGTGGTTCAGGATAAATTGAGCTGACAGATCGAATAAGACCACCCTAATATTTACAAGCTTTATTATTTGTTTTATAATTAAATATTTCAAGTTTTAAGCAATACTGTAACACAGTTTGTAGCATTTGGAGTATGTGTTGAAAAGCCTCTCATCCTCTACCACACTCTTCGGCTACGGTCACGCTGCAGGCAAATGCGACCCAAATCCATTTTGCCCCATTGGACCCCTAACTGATTATTTTATGACGGTTTGAACGTGTCAAATCAGATTTTTTCAAACCAGGCTGTTTCAGAATGTGGTTTTAAAACGGATACAAATCTGATGTTTTCAAAGTGACTGCAGTGTGAACGCTCATGTCACATTCATCAGTGAGGAGGGGGTGAAGATCGATGAAACTAACCTCAAGTCTCGATGTTTAAATCTGTAGCTCCATGTGTTTACAGCTCCAAAACACAAGTCCAGTTGCTTCATCTTTTTACTTTTAAATTAAATTTTCCATTTATACAGTATGATAATAACAATGTCCAGCCTGGCTCACGGAACGTATCGATCCTAAAGTTACTCGGTCGATACTTTATTTCCAGCTCGTTGCTTCGTTCCAAAATTAAAAAGCTTCACCGGAGCATCAGGTTCAGATATAAACATTGAACTAAACAAGCGTCAAATAATTATTTAATCAGCTCTGATTGAACAACAACTTCACATTCGACGTGCAAAAAAGTAGCATCCATATTAACTCTGCAAACAAACAAGCCAGCTGATGAGACGTCATGTCTTTTACTGCACGTGTGTCACATCAGTGCTGTGTAGCGTTCACACAGGAGTCTGATGCAGGTCACATTTAAAATGTAATGTGAACGTTCACACAAAAAGATCAGATTTTTTCAAAAAATCAGAATTGAGCATTAAGACCTGCAGTGTGAGTCTTAGTTTAATATCTGTGAAAGTGGCTGAGTTACAGACATTAATGCCTTTTGTCAATTAGATGTGGTAAACAGATTGGACTGAGGTGACACCAAAAGTTAATCCCTTTAGATGTCAACCTAATGACTACTCTCTGAAAGATCTACATAACCCATTCAGTAATCTATGAGACATCTGGACAGATGAAGTTGACTATGTTAATTCACCAAGACAGCCATGAGAAATATGAATAATTAATGTTTGTGTAAAAATAAGTGTTTATTTGGTTCTGAGTGAAAGAAAAAAGCTGTAAAGTTTGTCTTTCTTACAACAGTTTCTGGATAGAGCCTGTGGAGCTTCTCGAGCAGCTCTCTGCGCCGCTGCTGCCGTTTACTCTCATGGCTGTCCAGACGTGCATTCCTCAGCTCCTCCATCACCTCGCCCAGCTCTTCGTTCACCTCTTTGGTACGCTGAGAAACATGCTGGAGCTCTGCTGTCAGGCTCTTCTCCTGCTCAGCGTAATCCTCAAGGGATGACCTGAGCCACACACGATTGTGTTACAACTTGCTCACTCACTTCCTGTTACATAACCAAATATTTGTGAAAAAAAAACACATTTAAAACATTTATGACCTACTTGCAAGTTTTGATGTATTCTTCTAATTTCTCTGCTCTATTTGCCAATTCTTCCAGGCGATTTTGACTGTTCCTGATGTCAACCTGCAAAATAATCAGTCCAGGTGTGGTGCAGTGACACATAAATCCAAAGAGTTCTGTTTGAAATGGTTACATTTTTCATGTGTTTTTAATAGATAGTAAATCGCTTTAAAGTAAGTTTAAAACAATGTTAGCAGAAACGTGATTACCTCAACCTCCTTTTTTCTGCGCAGGTCAAAAGACATCTTTTCAGAGTCTGCTTTCAATTCCCAATGCATTTTCTCTGCCTGCTGGCTGAGCACAGCCCCCTGCTTCTGGGCCAGCTGCTTCAACTCCTCGTATCTGTCCAACTGTAATAAAAACGTGATTTGTGCAAAACATATCGAGACATTGTAACTGCTTCTGCAAGTTCAATATATCTGATGACTATTAAAAGCCATGGGCTTCAGTCTTTGTAATCAATAACATTACCTGTTCCTTGTCAAACTCAATGTCTCTTCCTCGTGCAGCTACTTCTTCCTGGATCTGCTTCTCATAGTTCTTCCAAGTTCTTTCAAGTTCAGCAACTTCCTGCCAACCCTCTGCCATTTCCTGTTCTTTAATGGCCATCAGCTTCTGGCTCTTTTTCACAGCGTCATGCATCTCTTCAGCCTTCTTGAGGAGATGAGAGGAGTTCACTTTGGCTTTGATGTATTGAGACCGAGTCTGGGACAGTGTGTGCTCCTGACCGCTGTGCAAGTGCAACAAAGTCATGAAAGTTTACCTGTCTGATCAATATCAATCAGACAGTTTCTAAAGTTGTGAAATGAAAACACACCTGATGTGACAATAAAAAAGCCATGCACAAAAGGAACAACAAAAACTTACCGGATTGCTTTGTCAATGTGCTGCTGCTCCCTGGTGAGGCGTCCGTGCTCCTTCTTGTGGGCTTTAACCGTTTGCTCCAAGTTCATCACTTCACTGTTCTTAGCTGCTGCAGAATGCTGTCTTTCCTTCAGCAGGTCACTGATAACACCTATGTCTTTTTCATTGAAATAAAGTTCAGAAAGGCTCAGCTGCAGGTGTTTCTGATCAAGGTCGTCTAACAGAGTCTGGTATTTTTCAGCCTGAAATTAGAATAAGAAAAAAATGAAAAATGAAAGAAAGATTATAACATCTGATTAAAAAGAACTAAATCATTTGTCCACAACATCCAATGTTTCCCCTAGGGAACTGATCTTGGGGGGAGGATCAAAAAAGTGTTGAGTCTGTGTGTCAGTCTCTTACAGTCTCTAAAGCCAAGCATATGAATTGTAGGAATTGTTGTAGAGTAGGACAGGAATCACAAACCTTTTTGAGACTGAGAGCTCAGGGGTACAGAGTCACACAAAGAGCTACTTATTTGATACAAACATAAATTTATATAACTCATCTTCTATTATAGTGATAAATTTACATATATGCAAATATTTGACTGCCTGATTAAATCTTCATGTTACGGACTCCTTGTGATGATCAGCAATAATAATTGATCATACATAGTACACTGAAAAAACTAACTTTTGGGTGTAGAAACATTTATTTAATTATTCTTTTAAATAAAAAAAATACATCAAAATCTCTAAACTACTAGAATTTACTAAATAAACAATACACATTATAT